GACATACCAAGATGGAGCCGCAGATGCCTTCGCAATTACAGCGACCTACGCCTGGACCGTTGGGAACATCGCAGCAACCCCAGAATGGTAACCAATTATCGACTCCTACCGGTTCGTCGACGCCTGGTGTCAACAATAACAACGCCGCGCCCGGTCCCATCCCGGCTACTACGCCGCTAGTTGTCAGGCAAGATAACAACGGGGTTCAATGGATCGCGTTCGAGTATTCTCGTGATCGGGTAAAGATGGAGTACACAATCCGCTGCGACGTCGAGTCTGTGAACACCGACGAGCTCGGCAGCGATTTTAAGACGGAGAACTGCGTTTACCCGAGAGCATGCTGCCCTAAGGACCAGTACCGCGGAAACCGATTGCAGTATGAGACAGAGTGCAATACCGTAGGATGGGCACTGGCCCAGCTTAACCCTTGCCTCCGAGGCAAGAGAGGACTTATTCAGAGGGCGGTCGACAGCTGGCGCAACAGCAACCAGGATCCTCGATTGCGAAGTCGACGCGTTCGTCGAATGGCCAAGATGAACAATCGCAAGGCGGTTCAGACTCCCCACTCGACGCACATGTCCGGTCCCAGTGGCCCGGCAGGGATGTCCACCCCTGGATCGATTGGCCCTGGCGGCGACACGCCCATGGGGAAGCCTGGGATGAGTAACATGGGTCCGCAGATGCATCACCACCACGCCCACGATGGAGGCGCTCAAGGCGGAGGAGATGTCGGTATGTTTCACCAGCAGATGTGATTCATGCGTTGTTGTTGTTATCGTTGCTGTTGTCGTTGTCATTGTGCAATTACGTGATACCTCTTATACCTTGTGTCTGTTCGGTTATTAGGATCGGTTGCCATTCGTGTTTATATAACGGCGCAAAGCCGCTGGCGTTTTTGAGAGCACTGGGGGACTGGCACTATTCTGTACATTATCTAGTTGCCATTGCGCTTGGTAGTCCTTGCTGCTTTCGGGACGGTCTAGTCGTCTGTCTGGTAGCATAGGTTGGCATGGCTTGCTTTGCATCTCACTGCACAAACACACCAAGAGCACATATCACAGCCTCATATCGTTGCCTCCTTGTATTGAAACCCTTCACAAAAAATTGCAAATATTCGCATCGCATCGCTTCGATTCTTTTGCTGCCCTAAATTCTACTAAATAAGCACTCCGACCCTGGTCTAGTCCGCTAATTCGACTATCTAAACAGGGGATGGAGAGTATGTGGATGGATCTCATCATCACCACCATCAAGCTCCTACGGGACCAGGATCTAGAAACTCGGCCGACGTGCGCCCAGCTCAAGTATTTGCCGGTTACCCCCAACATTACCCTAGCCACTCCGCCTCGGAATCGTCCATGCCACCGCTGCATGACGGTCTTGGCGGTTCCCACCATAATACTATCGTAGCTCGACGTACGGCGCGGGACGATGATGAGGAAGATGACAAAAATCCGGAAGGCTTATTCCCTGACTTGCCGGACGCCAAGAAGCGCAAGTTTATTCTCGTCGAAGATAACAAACGTAATGCTCGTCTGCGAGTACGTGTGATGCTCGAAGAAGTGAATCCCAAGGAGATACCCGACTCGTTTCGCAAAAGCTCTGCCGTCTTCCCGCGTAGCTATTTCCCGCGCGAAATGCAGAGTCCGCCTCCTAGCGCCACGGGGAGCCAATTCTTCCAGGACGACCTGAGCGACGACAATGTTGAAGTCGACGGTAGGCGACCCGGACGCCCTCGAAGGGATGTTATGAGGGAGCGCGTTATGGTGAAGGCGCCTATGTCCGATGGCAACGAGGCCGAAGTTGCTATCCCCAGAATTAGAAGAGGGTCGCGCATAAAGGAAGTGCGCCTCAACGACCTTGCCTACCGTATGGCGTGGATGCATAGTCGTGTTTTTGCCGGAAGGACTGTCTTTCTCCAGCGAGCGCGTAAGTTGAATTTTTGGCGCATCAACTTTGTCATGGTTTTTTGCTAACTTTGTTACAGTCGACTGCTATCGGAATAAGACTTGTACCTCTATCGAAGGTGCTACTCAAGATGTAAGGACCACGGTACCTCACTACGAAACGAGAGTCGGCAAGCGAAGATGGGGTGAACGTGAACGCCGCGGCGAAAAGCGGGATGAGGACTCCTAGTCCGAGTCCGAGCTATTTTGCTTCATATGACACTATATAACTGATATCCCACTGACATCTTGCTGCCACTCGCCACTTTTTCGTCTCGGCTTATTATTATTATCATTTCATATTTAGACGAGTCGCGCTCCTGTGGAATTTTTCTATTCCGTCGCCGGGCGCATAAAATAATGGCCTCTTCACACATACGCTACGTCCCGCGCTTGTATTATATCCGCGCTTTATAGAGTCATCAGAAAAGTCAATAGCGATATACGACCGATTTCTTCATCGTCCCGTCTAATTCGACCTGCTATTTATGTATCAGTGATTCTAACTTGATACGGATTTCTATCTCACCTCTTCGATCATGTTTTTATATGTTACCGGATACGTCTCCTTTCGGGGACCGGAATCTTGATGTCCTGCCATGACAATGATCTATTTCATCATATATCTCATGCGCTATCGATCTCCTTTTGCTTGTCTGATGCGATTTATTCTTAGTAGTGGGCTGGCTAGATACATTTACATCGTCGGATTCACTTCTGCATATACGGCTTTTTTTTTACGGAAACTACTTTACAGGATAGAGGAGTTTACATTTTCTATAGTGGTGGTTATGGGGCGAAAACCGGAAAAGGAGAAAAAAGAAACAGGGTTTGTTGGGTGGGAATATGGCTTGAGGCGTGGGGCTTGGTAACGGCAAGAGATTGTTTATAGGGGAGATACCAAACTTTATTTATATCGTCTTGTGGTTATAGGTAATCGGGGGGATAAGAGGGCACAGAAGTCGATCGGCACACATCTGTCAAGTGAGAAGGGAGATGGCATTCGAGCTTCTAGGCTCATCTCACGGAATGGGAGGGCATATGGGGGTGTGTGTTAATATCAATGACGTTGTCGGTTGGTATTTGTGTCTTCGTTCACACCGAGGTATAATACGCTACATATAGGACATCATAAGTACTATTTTCCGTTGATAAAGTATCTGCAGAAAGTGCGTTTGAAGGTAAATCCGCGGCCGTATTCGTATAAGCATGTCATGATGTCGCCTTAAGGTTTGGTTTTAAGATTCATAAGATACCTGACCCAAAAAAAACGTTGAAGCCGTTTATGGAAATAGCATTGGGGATTGACTTTGCTGACGATAAGTTGCCTTTGCTTTTTTTTTCTTCTCCGCCGCTGGTGCTTACGAAAAAGAAACGCTTATGATGTCAACGCACGATGGTGGAATGTATCGCGAGGCAACTCGTATGATATACTTTTTTCCTATGCGAATGAGATGTGACCGGAGCCGTTAGCCGTATACTCTCTTGCATCCAGTTAGGTCATGCGGCTCCTTTCATCACCAACACCATCAGACTTCCGCGGCTTACTTCTTGGCCACCCGGTGAGAGGTCTAGCTAAAGATAATATGTACATACCTACTTACCTATAGAAAAGTCCTTATGCTTTTTTTCCTTTTTTTTTGTTGCAGTAATCGTGCATCGGAGATAACCCCCTATCATGAGACACAGATACCTACCTACCTATGTATACCTCTACAAGTAGTATACATACAAGCCGTGTACCAGGTACATCCCAAATACATCAAACAAAACAAGGGGAAAATGTGCTCATGCAAGCCACAACGCCTCTCTTCCCTACCGCACCCCTCGCAATCTTAACCAAAAAGAAAAAAAAGAGAAGAAAAGATAGGTAGGTAGATATCGATACGCGAGTACCCGTGCCGCCCCGTCACCCGTCCGCCGCGCACCGGGCCGCCAGGAGATGCGGGTAGCCGTTTTTTTTTTAAAATCATCCGCGTCGTGTCCGTGCTGCGGTTTAGGGGTGGGGTGGGTGCGGTTGTACAGTGGAGGATCGGGTTTATACTGGTGCGTAAGGTACTTACGTATATATATGGATAGATAGCACTGTGAGGCTCTTGGTCTTCGGTGGGATGGTTTAGGGAATAAAGTTTCCTACCTAGATAGGTGCCGATATACTGGGTATGTTATAGCTAGCTAGGTACCGAGTATCTAAACATTGAAGATGTGGCTTGGTAGTGGTTAAACTGCCTAGTAAGCTGTCGAGTATGTTGAGAGCATATATGGTGATATATAGATACCTAGGCATCAATAGAAGCAGCACATCTAGCTTGGAAGCCGCCCGCCTTTTACGACAGACTTCGCGATGCTCAGGACACAAGTAAACTTCTCACCCCCTAATACACACGCCATCTACCATCTAACCTTCAGTAACTATCCTCTACTCATACACAATCAAGGGACTAGTTAAGTACCAAGGCTCATGAAAAAAAAAAGTTCCATAAAATATAGTAAAAAGAAGAAGAAATCTACGGGGTATATCTAAGTAGTTCGTATCGTATCCAAATCCATATCCATCTCTTACTCTTCCTTTTTCCTTCGTAAAATCCGTAGGGTATCTGACCTTTTGACGATGATGTTGAATGATGAAGGATAGACAAAGGGAAAGCAGACAAGACGGGGAAAGAAAAAGGGGGTAGGAGGAAGATGCGACGGACTGTACATGACGTCTCTAAACAAAAAACCCTCATAATTCCATCACCCAAACAAGAAAAGCCCAAAGTCCTAATGATTTTCCCGATACATGCTGTACAAGCTCCGTCATGCTGCTTAATTCCATCCCCTTTCGCCTCGAGCTCCATATACACTCTCCTATACATCCGACGATCCTACATGCTTTATCATACCATCCCGCCCTATCTCTGCCGACGAGATATGTCTAATCTCCGGCAACATGTATGTATGTATACATGAAACGAATGAAAAAAACATATCAACAGATCATATAAACCATATACACCTTAGATAGCTCATAAATAACTCTAATATGACTCCAGCGCCCCTTGACAGGCTGACTTAGCGTCTGTCGTCCGAGTTGGTAGTAATGGAGTCGTAATCACGTTCGCGAACGGACCTATGGTGACGAGGTACGTCGTGTCGGCCGGTCGTTGAAGTTTCGTACTCAATAGCGCGACGGCCGCGTCCATCGTCATCCGAGTCGTCATCCCGTCTGTGTCTTCTGTGACGCTCCCGGTCATCATCTCGGCGATACTCGTAGTTATCATCGTGCTCTCGGCGGTGTCGACGATTTGGTCGCTTATCGTCATCGTCACGACTATCATATTCGTGGTTGCTACCCAATTCTTTCTCGATTTCTCTTCTCTTGGCGGCTAAAATCTAGTTAGCAAGACATTATCCTAACAGATAAAAATATTAAGAGTCAAAAAATACCTCTAAGTTGCGCCGTGGCAGTAGCGTAGCCCTGGATCTCTTCCTTATTCAAGACCCTAAGTACGATGACGAAATCGTCGCGGACCTCGAAGCGCTCTTTTCCGGCCTCCAAGGCGGCGGGGTTGATTAGCTTCCGGTTAATCTTGGTCCAGCGCGCACCTGGAGGGACACCCTTCTTGGTCTTGTCATCTTTGTGCGGTGCGACGCCCTCCCGGATCGGGTTCTCCTCCTCGGGGAACTTGGCGCTGGGCGCCTTAAGAATGCCCTTAATAGGCTTCTGCTCGGACTTGTCGCGAGGGGGTGACACTACGCGGACTTGTTTCTCCGATGTTGAGACTACCTCGCGACCCCGAGACTCTTCGTGAGAGTCGACTGGCTGGCGCTCGCTAGAGGAAGAGGGGCTAGCCTCTTTGTTAGATGTGCGATCCCCGACAGGCGATCTCTCAGGCTTCTCTTGGTTGTCCTTAGCAGCCAACTCGGCTTTAACATCCAGCAGATCGTTAATATTTGTAGAGTCGAAAGTTGACGAAGTGTGTTGACGTCGGCGCGAAGTACCCGTGGCGTCGCTGGGGGGTGGTGAGTTGTCTCTCTCACCCACTACGGCGGATCCGCTGAGTACAGCCTCCGTATCTTGTCTAGTGCGCTCAGCGCGCTCACGAGAGCGATCCCGCTCCTTTTCACGCTCACGCTGGTCTAACTCGCGCTCCCGTTCCTTTTCTTCCTCTCGTTCCCTCTCGCGATCGAGAGCACGCTCGCGAATGCGCTCCCTCTCTGATTCCCGGTCTGTCTCACGATCCCTAGAAACCGACGCCGAGTCCGCCCGTTCTTTCCGGGATTCTCGTCGTTCCAAGGGAGCGTCCTCTCTGGGAGAAGGTTTGCGCTCTACGCGCTCGACAACATCCCGCTCTCTGGGCTTGTACCTATCACCGTTACGAGAGCTTCCCACCTCTACTTCTTCATCAATAGTATCCCGGCGACGTGGGGAGACCTTGCGATCGTCATCCTTGGACGTTTCCTTAGGAGGAACTAATCCCATTGCAGCAGCAGCAACACCTAAGCCAGCAGCCACTTTATCACGGGCTCGACCGCCTAGGCTACCTTTACGGCTAAGGGTATCTCTAGAATCTCTAGAGTCCCGGCTCATGTTATCATCAACGGACTGTCTGGTATCGTGGGGGCGAGCATAATCGATAGACTCATCAGAGCGACGCCGAGGCTCGCGCTCTGCGGCGTCTCGTCGCACACGCCGGTCATCATAGTCGCGCCGATCTACTGATCTTGCTGGGCGATCTGGTTGTTCTACTTTTAGGGAATCCGTGCGGATACCAAATCCGCGCGCAGAGACCTCGGGATCGAGGTATGGGTCGTCACGCTCCCGACGACGATGTACACGCTCGTCGTCGTGAGAGCGGTAGAGGTCGTCAGGATGCGATATGCGCGCCGGCGCATCCTGGTATAGAGACACAGGTCGTGGTCGCGTCAGTCTACGCTCGGGAGATGGATCCCTCGGTGCAGCTTCAATGCGACGTTTGGGATCGACTGGCGGTGCGGAAGGAACAGGTGGTAGAGCTGGCATAGTAACAGTGGGACGATCATAGATACCCGCAGCAGTAGCCCTGTTATAGCGCTCAAGTCCCGAGGATGGAGGCGGTGGACCGCGACCACGGCCGGCGCTGGGAGCATCGTAGCGTCCCGGATCGTTACTAACAACATTCACAGTTGGCCTGAAGTAGTTGTTAGCGGGACGGTCAACGCTCTCCCGCCTACGTCCGCGCTGTGGCTGGCGATCGTTGTCTAGGTCATATCTAGCCAGATCGCTAGGTTTTGTGTATTCGTAACCTTCATTCTCGTAGTCGATTACGGCGGTGCTGCTGAGGTCATGTGATGGAGTCGCGTAACTTGCATGAGGAAGGGCGAATCGGTAATAGTCGGTAGGGGTGTGTGTCGGAGCTCGAAGTCTGTCGTCGATGCCACCAACTCGTTCTCTCAATCGTCTTAGTTCGTCATTACTTACAGTCGCGCTTTGGCTATAACCGTGGCTATATCGCTGGCCCCGCGAAGTGGAGGAGGCGGGTTGCGTATAATAGGTCTCATCGCTCGATCGGTAGGGGTCGTGTGACGGACTAGTCTGGCGGGCGGCAGATGACGTGTGGGAGGATGACCCGTGAGGTCGTGTGGCATGGTTAGTTGTGACTATGATAGGTTTAACCGCGCCCGAATCTACCGTAGATGAGCGACGACGTGCGGTATTTGATGTGCGCGGCGCAGGCTCTTTAGTAACGTTATAAGTTGTAATGGTGGTGGTTGGAGGGTTATTCGAAGAGGACGAGGCTTTATGTTCATTTACTCTCCGCGGGGCAGCAGCGTCATAGCGAGCCGTGGGTACTGCATGGATATCTCCGCTGAAATGAGGGTTGTAGCCTACGCCTACAGGCAACGAGGCTCGCGCGGGGTTGGAGGTAGGCGACCTACGCCCCGAGTACCGGTATCGAGGCTCAGTCATATTGACGATGTTGGTTGGTTCGTTGGTAAGCTTGTCCACAATATGAGAATGTGATAAATGACTCAAGTTGAAATCGATATTTTGGTATTTCTTGCGACCGGTAACGATCACGATAGAGTCACAAAAGGTGTTTCAAGCCTAAATTGAGGAAGAAGTCTCGGTGAGAGAAAGTGAGAAAATAAAATCAGGCAAATAGAAAGCAGGAAAGTATTCGAAGACAGGGAAGTGGGACAGGTGGGATGTAATTATGTCCGGCTTATTTCTTAGTCCTGACAATATGACCAGGTTTCGTATATGAAGGTCAGGTTTCTAGTTGGGGGCGGAATAGTTGGAAGTGAGAAAGGTCTTGTGGCCTTTACTTCTTTTTCTTCCCTCTTTTTTTTCTCACTCTCTTCGTATAATAAATTTTATCGAGTGATAAAAGATGGGTCGTTCTGCGACATATAAGTAAGCCATTAGAAAATTCGAAAAAAAGAGCGCGGAGAATGTATAGTACATGGTACATAAGTAGTGAATTTTTATAATGGCGACAATATTTTCCGGAGAATCGAAAGCCGAGTGGTGCCGCTTAAGAATATTGTAGTAAAGCAAAGAATTGCATGAGGTACTTACCAGGAAGAGAAACCCTGGTTGAGAGGGACAGGCAACAGACGAGGATATCAGGGTCCTATCGTGGGGTAGAAGCCATAGAATGGTTGAGAAGGGTTGTATTGCGACGAGTTTGCGTAGTCGGGTTGGGCTGCAGAGCAGGGAACCGGCGGTGAAATTGGGCCACTAAGATGAAGGACCCTTGAAGCCAGCCACGAGCGTTCAGGTCCTCCTATCCCCTTGATTATCCCCTTGATTGACAATAATTGCCGGGACGCTGTACAGATCTGTATTTGTTCGTGAGCCCTTCGGCCGGGAAGAGGCAAATTGTATGAGTTGTCCGTAAGATTTGGATCAAGTGACCCGATAGCAAAGTGCACGAAAGAGACCGGACAAGTCGGCCAGATCAAGCAAGTATAAATTCTTTAGCAGAAAGTGCAAAAGAATAATAATTGCCAGCCAGGTGCGCGGTGATGATTGTGGGTGCGTTGTCTACCGGATTTTATTTGCCTGAAGAGGTGCTATTTCGTACCCTCCAAGAAGACCTAAGTTAAGATGACCAATAATGAGTGATTTTGATCCTGATGTATATCCAGCTATGGTAGTATGGTAGTAGCGGGGTTGTTGTCGTCGTTTTTATTTGTGTGCCTCGCAATCACAGCGCAGACTTGACTGGTCGACTCGACAACACCTTCGCCTTCGGATACGTGCGTTTCCCGTCGCCCCTCTTGGTTCCGGCAGTGATAGGGTAAGAAGAATATTCTATGGAAGGAATTGCTGACTGACTAGCTAAGAAGCGCCAACGACAGTGCTGAGGCTCTGTATGGGAATAAGCAGGCGACTGCTGATGAAAGCTTCGTTACCAAAAAAGACTAGAATTTGAGCTGGTGGGTTTCTCAATTTTTTTCTCTCTCATGCAGCTTGGTGATCCCTTAGGTAAGTTAAGTTAAGGCAGGTCATGCACGAAGGTGTGCTCTGCTAATGCATGCAGAGAGAGACGAAGTGGGGTGTAGTGTAGTTGGTTGGTCAAAAGAGAAGAGCCACGGCAAGAAACGGAAAGTCTTTTGCCTGATGCCCCTGTTACTGGATTCTGCTCGGATCTGCTTGTAGGATTTTTGTTGTTGAAACGGTGGAGTGATCTGACGATAGACACAGCCCCTGGGATTTTGGTGTGAGTTGGTATGGGTTGGTGTAGGTTGGCTTCGGAGGAGGAGGAAGCTGGGTATTGGTAAGAAGCTAACAAGCTAGAGCCGAGGAGACGGATCCGTGGAGTGTACTAGGTTAGGTATGTAATAGATGTGTGTGTGATAGCTGATAAAAGATAAAAAAGATCATGGATGACAATGACGATGGTGGTGGAGGGGCATTTACCATGCACCAAAGCTGAGATAGCGAATGGTGGGATGGAACAGCGTCGGTGATGACGTCCCGATTCACACAAAATAGAATTGCGTTGCGTCAATGGCAAGCCCAGGCCGAACTAGACAGCTAAAGTCCAGCTTATCATCCAGCTAGAGGTGATTCAAGTGAAGGTTGACAGGTACCAGGATAGACCAACCCAGGCGAGGGATGGTTACGCTGATCGGAAGACTAGGAGAACCCCCGTTTCCCGTGTCCCGTTTCCCGTTCCTAATACAAAAATGATGCTCGAGGGTTCGACGAGAATGATCAATAAAAATCGAATGTTCTTCGAACTAACCTACTCCGTATTAATGCGCTTCCGAGATCGTACCCTCTCGCCTCTGCATAGGTTCTGCATACTAGGCACTATGCGTAGCGTAGAGTCCGCATAGGCGCTAGGTTGTAGGGGGTAGCAAGAGGAGGAACACGAACCACATGAACCAAACGTAACCAGACGTCAACCTGAATCAAAGATCAGCGACCTGAGAAATTACGCCGCCTTTGCGCCCGTCGCATGTAGGATCGACCGTGAGACCGTGCCGTGATATGTAATGTTGTAGGAATTCCAATGATATGCAGTAGTGTAGTAGTAGTGTAGAAGTAGCAATATGTATGCAGGAATTTAAGTATAACAATAATAGCAACCTGGCAGCTGCCTAGAAATAAAGTGCGAATGTAGAGTTTGGTCTAATCTTATTAGTCTAGACTGGCGTGTAGGTACGGTAGGTGGAAGGCGACAGCTGGAGTGCTAGCGGTTTCCGAGGTTGTTAGTGCTATTCAATATGCTAATATTGGAAACATGGAACGTCTGGATCAAATAATATTAACCAACATCGCAATTCCTCAACTTCAAAAAAAATCAAGACATCCTGCTTTTACATATGAATTCCTCAAATTCTGTAAGCTCTCGTTCCGTTTCAAATACACCTAGTTTCCTTATGCCGATAGGTAAACAAGAATTTTATTTTTGCCTCTCGTTTTTGGAAATTACCTAAACAAAGTTCCAATGCGGCAAACCGCCAACGAATTGTTGTTAATGCTTTACATCTGCACAGCTTGAAAATAGCGAATAGGCTCATCCACCCCCCTTCTTACAAATCTTCCGCTACCACAATCACGACCACAACACGCAAATTGACCAGCGCATATTCCTCCGTACACCGTATTCCTGCTAGGTACTATGAGGTATGTATGTACCTATCGTACAATCAAACAATCATATGGATATGACCCGAGATATTGAGAAGGCGTTGACCTTAATCGGCTGTGTCGTTCATCATCAATCACACTCTCTCGCCATGGCAACAAATATCACGACACCAATCGCCAAATCATTCCCGTCTCATTTTCCATATTTTATTTCACCTCGACAGTCTCAACCATCCTTTTGAGCCGGCTGGTATGTTAAAAGTTTGGTTCTTTACTTTCATTGGTGCTTTATTTTGGTGTTTCGGGCTTCAACACTAGACTCAATTGGAACCCAATGGGTCCCCTCCTGGTCCCCCTCTCTGGCTACGAGACTGCGAGATCGTTTTTTGAGTCACAATTGTCTCTTAGAATTGGTCAAACCCTTCTGTCACTTTGTGACTTCTAATCCTCGTGCCTCGTGGCCCGGCCCGAACCTTTGGTTCCGGCGTCTCGCCTCGTCTCGCATAGGTCAGTCCAAGTACTTCGTGGCGCATAGTTCTCTAGGGGACAGAGGCTGCGTATTCAGCCCAGCTAGGCTGTAGTGTACCTTGGGCTGTAGAATTTTATATTACCCGAATCGGCAAGTAGGACGAGAAAGTCTACCTAGGTAGGTAGGTAGGTATTTACGTATGTACGTAAACAACCACTCGCTAATTACTTCAACCGCCAAATAACGACTTTCACTCTACCGTGGTGAGAAGGACGCAAGCCGCCCAAGTGGCGAATGGTTGAACTGCCCCTGTATGATTGGGCTGCCATAACATAAGGGATGGTTTGCGACGACTCCTACACCCCTCGCGGCACTTGACAAATATGTCTCTCAAATCACATGGCTGCTCATGAGCCAAGGCTTTTGTCTGTAGTCTGTTTCAAATCTACTTCCTTACATTTCTCATTCGATAGCTTCTAGACCGGTAGAATTGCCTTAATTAGCAACTAGGGTGACCGATCGACTCAACGAGTAGCAATCAACTGCGATCATGATCAAGCTCGTACATAGGATCCGATGTCCGAATAGGCAGATAGGTTAACTACCTAAGTTACGTGCGTATTAATTTACCAAGGAACGGAACTATGCCCGATCGTTCACCTTGTCCTGCTTGTCCTGCTTGGGTGCACGCTTATTTCCTAGGTATGTGAAGGTTGGCATGGAACGAAGATCCCCAAGGGGACGACGTACGTACCGCACCGTAGCAACAGCTCCGTCGACGGTCGACTCCGCCGTTATGTCTTGATTCTGGCTACATCTATGGGCCTTCTCTCCGCTGACCTAGGATTCCTAGTCTAGATTGGGCGTGAATAGCATGTCCCACTCGCATATGGCGCCTAATATACAATGTTATGCCGACACGGGATAGTCGTCTTCAAGGTGTCTCCTCGCTAGCTCGACTAAAGAGACGTGCTATTCCCTTAATCCGTTCCATCAAGTTGAACTATGCCCAATGACCAAGGGTAGATACTTGAACAGTAGTTGCTTCTAGGGACTATCATGCCCTAAGGTCTTCTGGTTGACTGGGCACACACAGTAGATCATCTCTGTAGGCGCGTGATTAGCTTAAGCGCCGCGTATCTACAAGATGACAAGATGTTGGGCATTTCGCGTTTCCAGTATGCTTGAAACGAAAGCTAAGTCTAGGGGTTGATAGGGGTAAGGCCAACCAACAAGAGCTGACCCCTGAAGGCTGAGCCCTACGAGCTGTAAAAAGGCTCAACCGGAGGAGCCAACGAGAATACACAGAATATAAACGTTCATGTTGTTAGGCTACGATCGAACGCTACAGCCGCATCCTGTAAGTCACTAAAATTCCACCACGTCGCACATCCCAAGGGAGATTATCATAGACTTCACCGCTCCCCTCTTCATTGACATCACTTCTTCGTTTGGTAATAATTGGAAATAAACGTCATCAAGAAGGAAAAAATAGACACGAGACAAACAATGCCCCAACTAAGTCGCTTACGCGTTAAACATTGATCGATAGAAGCTCGAGGTTGACTCGCCAATACCTAGAAGTATTCTCCGATTAGCCCTTATGCTTCTCAGATCCCGAACCAGCCAAAAGAACCACAGTACTGACTTGTCAATATTAGGAACCATCGAGTCCTGTGACCTCTATGAGATGGGTGATACAAATGCCAGATCATCACCCTTAAGTCATCCCATATAACCTCCTTTTGTAGGTATTGCCCTTTCGCATTGGGTCGAAAAAGGGGGAGGTTGGAGAATGAAAACTTGAATAACCTACTCGGTAGCCAAGGCATTTCGACATCAACCTAGGTTGCTAAGGGTACGAAAACATCTTGACGTCTGACACATGCGGTTATCAAAACACCTTCCACCCACTGTGACTGCAGACAGTAGTCTCCGCGAGAACGCGCGACGGAAGAAGCAAAACACCGACGAGCTAGCTTCTTACAAGTGTGTTTACATCTTGCCCTCGAACTCGTGTTACGAAAACACTGTCGTCATCCACAACCCCCAAGCCGCACTCCCGAACATCACCACCACCACCACCACCACCAACGCAACGACAACAACAAATCCCAAACCCGCCTCTCAGCCTCTCCCACAATCGCGTCAGCCCACCGCCGCTAACAACGGGGAAGCACCCACGCGCATCTCCTAATCGCCGACGCAAAGACGATCATGTCGCCCAACCCACCCGCAACGCCCTCTGCGCTACCACAGACGCCGGGCGTGCACAGAAGCAGGGCGAAAAAAAAGAGAGAACGCCAACACCAGAAAAAGCAAAGCAAAGCAAAAAGAATAACCACCTATCTTCACCGAGGTCCGGTCCGAACCCCCCACACCCGCGCCCCCCCTCTTATACGCGATTAGTCCCTGCTGTAAGACGCTGGCGCACGCAGCCACCTGCGCGGCACGCTTGGCGGGCGAAGTCCCAGATGCCGGAAACCTGTAAGTATAAGCCGCCTGCATAGCTAAGTAGGTAAGTAGCTAGCTAGCAGCCACACCAACACGCACGCAATAGGCAACTAGCTAGGAAGGCAGCTAGGCATATTACGCGCGCGTGCAGATGAAAGACGTACGAAAAAGGCACGTAAGAGGGGATGAAGGAGACCCTACGTGCGCTCGTCGTGGCGTTCGGGCGGGAACGTGGACCCCTAAGAAGCCAACGATCCGACGCCGTGGCATGTACGATAACCGGTCGTGCCGCATACATTAGCACATACCTACCTACCTACCTACCTACATACTTACCTACATAGACCACCAGATAGCCGAAACAAGTAAGTTGCTCCAGTTGTCCTGTCCCGGATCTGCGATAGACGAGCTCCCTACTGGGCCGGCAGATTGTTGAGATGATCGAGATGGTGAGATTCTTGGGACAGCTCAGCGGGACGGGCCATTCCTCGACGAGGAGCCGCGAATGGCTGTACCGATGACGCCCCGCCGCGCCCCGTCGGAATGCCTCCTTACATAGATAGGTACATAGCTAGATTAGATGGAAGCTTAGCTGCGATGGTTTCTAGATTGGGTAGGTACACACGATCTCCTTGTGGTGTGTATGGCAACGTCGATTTCACATGATTCTTCGGCTAGGGCTATCCAACGGTTGCTTAGTGATGCTAGACCCTCACATTATTAGCTTCCAGGTTGGGATTTCTTGATTGAGAGTAGATGTGTTGTTGTAAGCCTCAGTTCAATGAGTCGTGCTCAAGATGTCGTTCTTTCGATCGGAAGAACTTGTTTATCATCTCGCTGCTTTTAAGACGTCTTGAGTTTTATAGCAGGAATAGCGATGTATCGATACATTGTTATGTTGTTCATTGCTAGCTTTAGGTAGTTCAAGATGATAGACTCTTCGGGTTTTCGCTCAAGCTCTTTCCCGGTGAGATTAACATCCGTAACACTTATGAATGTGGTGTTACGCGCTTCAAGTCTTTCGATTGCTATAGGATGGATGCGAAGACGCACTGGCCCCTGGAATGGGAAGATGTCAGATGGATTTCAAACCTACCCCTATCACGTACCTATCCTCGAAAGAGGCATGTGGACGAATCTTAGATAGTCTGAATTGTATATACCTATACTTCAAAATAGAACTATTGCTCCTAATTTCTATCAATGTCATGCATGGAATGATTCTACAATACTGAGAATCATTCTAATGTCATGGAAGTATTCTTCCCAATTTCTATCCATGCTATACATAGAATAATTCTACAGTATTTAGAATCATTCTTATAAGTAGTGTATTACCATTACGGTACTCTCTTCCCCTATAAGGACAATCATGCAATGCCTGAAAAGATGCCCAGGTGAGATCTAGACTTGAAAGTATCTACCTAATGTAGGGCATTTCCTCCCTACTTAATGGAAACACTTACAAGGAATCATCCTAGGTACCTAGGTAGCTACGTACTAGTAGGTAATATTCGATCGTAGATAGGAGGTAAACAACAAAAGTCGTAATCTTCGTAAGGTGTAGATGCAGAACATCAACATCAATTCATAAATACCTACAATAGATCAAAGCTCATTATCATTATCACAACTCCCACCCCTTCCCTAACCCCTTTCCAGTCACATCACATCAAGAGCTCAACCCCAGAACCAGACAACAGCTCCAAGCATCAACAAACAGCCACCCTACCCCCCTAAGCCAAACTCCCCATAGGATCCCAAAGCGGCAGCACCACCGGCTCCTTGCCAAGCACATCCCGAACCCGTCGAGCCAAAAACCTCGGATCAACCACAGCCTGGTAAACAAACTCATCCATCCACTCATCACTCATAACAAACCAGCCCTTCTCCCCGACGCCCTCACCCCAACTATTCTGCACCCTCCAACGGACAGTCTTGCCCTCCGCATCGACATGCACCGCCGTGAGCACCATAGCATGAGTCATAGCGCTCTCACCGACCCTAAGTCTCGCCGCCTTATCCAAGCTGCCGTAGAGACTAACGTTAAACCCGAGTTCGTAATCAAACACCCCCAAATCCATGACCCCGCTGACGCGCTCGCTGTACTTCCCGACATCGGAGCCGAAGAACACGGGCAGGCCCGCGCGCAGCATAGCCACGCACGCCTGCTTCAGCGTCGCCATGTCGACGTTGATATACGTGATCCCGCGGCCGCCGACGATATTCCCCAGCCTGTCGACGGAGAGCAGGGACAGGGGGTCGTGGCGCGGGTCGTGGACTAAGGAGACCATGCTCGCGACGGTGGAGCTGCTGATGCGGAACTCGGGGCTCGAGATGTCCTTTGCGAAGCGGTGCGGCGTGGAGACCACCGTGCGGGCGCGCCCGTCCTTGTCTTGGAAGACCCACTCAAACTCCTCGCTCGAGCTAGGCGGCGGACCTAGGGTCAGCGTTAGGATGAGGTGGACTTCGCGCATCATCTTGTCCTTTGTTGCGGAGAGGACAGCCGTTGTGGTTGATGGGCTGTTAGATAGATCCCGCAGGATGACTGCGTACTCGCGTAGCTTGGCCACGATGATAGAGTTGATAGTGCTGCTCGTCATAGCATTCCAGCTATCCGGGTATAGGGCCTGGGGCACGAGGCCGTATTTCTCGACGAGATTGTACACCATGTCCCACTGCCCGCCGTCGCTTATAGGGTCCGCGAGTAATCTCTGGACCAACCTCTCGTCTAGGGATTGGTCGGCGGTCTCGATAATGTTTTCTAGGAAAAAGTTCGACTTCTCAAGCTTATCCCAAAAGAACAGATAAGCTTGCGAGAGCTCGAACGAGTCGAGGTTGTACTTCTTCATGAGAGCGATACGGAACACATTCGTACTAGCGAAAAGCCAGCACCGACCCGAGGATCGCTGGTTTGTGATGGGGGCGCCTTCGAACGGTATGCGGACGTTGAATACATGTTGATCCGCAATCTTCGCGGAACGAACAGCCAAGACATCTTTTGGATTCGCAGAACTGAGAGCTGAGAGTGCCAATCTATGACCGAGATAAGGTGTTATAAGCCTTATGAATGGTACTAGTGATATGATTGGGAGGCAACGAACCTGTTCTTGGGATCTGAAAGCAACTTAGACTGCCAGTCCTGAGTAATCTCAATATCTAGTCCCTCCGGTCGCCTGCTTATACGCTCCTTAAATGACACCCCCTTCTCGCTGTTAACGTGAACGAAGTCGTCCTCAAACCTGAGACTTTGGAGGCGTTCGAGAACGGCCTTTTCATGCGCAGCAACCGCTGCCGCCTCAGGCGAACTCTTTGACTGCTGAGCACCCATTATATTATATGTAATAACTACGAGAGATTTGGCACGGGATTATTGCTTAGGTACTAGGTAAGTAGATAAGAAGATGATAGGGATGAGATTGAGGATAGATATCGATTGATCCAGCTGAGCTCATAAACAGTGACACTTGTGCACGAGTAAATTAAGTTTAAGTTTCGACCTGCTTTCTACAATAAATGATAAACTTTACAACACAATTCTACACATAAAGAGGAGGGATCTCAAGGGAGAAGGTGGGAGAATGATGTGATTACATCTTATCATAGTAGATACTGGATAGCGAAGGATCGTCCTTCTGATTGGACTAGACAGGAGCTCGGCTGACCATATCTCGACCGGAGTTTCCCATTACGGTGCATTCTAAACACCCTGATGGCTACTATCTAAGTACTAGGCAAGTACCAAAGCTTAAACAGTTCATGCATTACATCTTCAAGTCATCGCAACATATACATATCCAATGCATGATCACGTTGCATAAATAAGACACAAGAATTGTACGCTAAGGGCTTGACATTCAATTACCATCCATATACAGAACATGCGTCAACTGTCATATGCCAAAATCCGTAACGTCCATTTTTCCAATCCATAATAATTACTCGCGGAAGATGTGTGAAGCAATCTTTAAGAGATCAACCGCGACTCCATCATTAACCATGTGCAAAAGAAATCGTTCCCAGCTATGATGACACTAATTGACACAACAGTTGATCCCATAAACCTACAGCGAACATCGCACGCTTATAGGTTAGAGGCGTGGATCACCTTCATGTCAACAACAAGCTCACGGCCGCCATCGTTAAGGACGAGCACGCGAACGCTGCCGTGACCGGCGTTGAAGGCCTGGTTAAGGCGAGACCAGAGGTTGGACTGGTCAATGACGGGGACGCCAGTCTTGACGTCGCCAGTCTCGGTCATGGCAACGATGCTGCCATCCTGGATGTCGAGGACACGGTACTGCTTGAAGACAGGGCCGAGCATGGTCTGAACGACAACACTGGGGGCAGGGTTGGAGACGAAGGAGGACTCCTCATGGAGCTGCTTGGTGAAGAGGTCGACACCAAGGTAGCGGTGCTGGCCGGTGGCAGAGGAGGTAGAGATGCGGATAACTTGGCAGGGGCGGCCCTGGAGCATCAAGATATCACCCATGCGGACATGGTGGCAGGGGATAGTAACGGTGTTAGGGACGGAGGGAGCGCCGTTACCCTTGGGGGCAGAGGAACGACCTTCGCGGACGATCTCGACACGGTCGCCCTCGGAGTGAAAGACTCGGTCAGCCATCTTGTGTAAGCTGTGACGGAATGAATGATGTTTTCCTAAACCTTCATTAGTATTGGTGTTGATGGGAAGCGACATCAATAAGTAGACTCACCTGATTCGTCGTAATATCCCATTCTAGACTTCTGGCTAGCGGGGGTGTGGCGGTGTCGAGGATACTCAGTGGTTTCCTCAACAATCTTGGTGTCCTTTTGGTAGGAGGAGCTGGGCCTGGGTGGGTCGATAGTGGATTCAGAGACACGAACCTCTTCTTGGAAGACGGGGAACGATTTGGGTGGGTCTATAGTAGATCCGGTGGATTCGATGTGTTCGGAGAAGTGAGAGCGAGGGGCCTTAGGGACGCCAACGGTAGTACCGACGACACCGATTTCCTTTTCCTCTTTGATGTAGTTAGGTTGAGCACGAGCGCGGTATTCGCGTTCGATACGGTCAATAGAGCTTAGAGCAGGCTTGTGACGATGGTCAACTTCGATAGAAGTCTCAGCAACCGAGAAGGAAGATTGAGGGCGAGGCTTGAAGTGAGATTCCGAGAAGGAGGTATGAGGTCTGATGAAAAGGTTTAATGTTAGTTGAATTGAGTCCAAGTTGAAGATATTTTACCAAGTCGTTACTTGGTCAACGTCAACTCGTATGGACCCAGTCACTAGCTAGGCAGGGGGCTATTGAAAAATATGAACCGAGCCCCATGCCCCCATCTTGGCCAATTTAATTGCGAATGGAGCTCTGGCCAGTGCGGAAAGTGACATTACGTTACGATCCGATTCACCAGATTATCTGGGGCTGTTTTATGACCCTCCCTTCTTCACCTCCATTACAACTCAATTGCAATTGAGCCCCGTTTTGTTTGTTGTCGTTGCAAATTGTGGAATTGGATTGACGGTGATTGACAATAGAAAATGCGGTAAAAACTAACCTGTGTTCCTCAAAATGCTCACGACGGGCACCGGGACGGCGGTAACGTTCTTCTTCACGTGTGATGCGGACCTCTTCTTCGCTAAATCGTTGCTCTCGACGCGGAGGTAACTGAGCAGAAGCAGAGATAGAAGAGTATTGACCTTCCCGTCCGGCTTTCTCAGGTTTGGCGGGGAGATCGATCTGAACCTCTTCGTGGGTTTGGGTGGTTGTCTCTACCTCAGCTTCCTTGTATGTGCGAGGGAAGATGCTGAAGGGGACGGGTACGCGGGCTTCAAAGTCCAGGTTGGCGACCTTTGCGGCGCGAGAGTCCTCTCCTCGACAACCTTTCGACTAAGGGCGAAAGGAAGACAAGAAGATTCCTCTTGCTCTTCTTTCTACAAATCTGAAAGAAAAGAAGGGAGTTTGAAGCGAGCGGATGATGCTGGCTTCTTTACTCGATTCTCTCGTTCAGGTTCAGGCTGGAAGAGCGGGGAATAGTGAGTTGGAGTTGGGTGTGAAGGAGTTGTTGGGTTGGTGGTGAGATCAAATGAGAGAAAAGGAGGTGAAGTGTCAGAACAGATTATTGGAAGGAAAGAAATAGGAGGAGCTGCAGGGAGAAAGATGGGCGGTGCAGAAGTATTGTACTGTACTGATCGTACTGACCCGTACTGCTGCGTCGTGCTGCGTCTTGTTGCGTCTTGCTCCTGCCGAGGGAGCAAAATGGCGTGGCAGGGCGTGTCCTGCTTGTTTTCCCTGTGTTTTGCTCTACCTGCCCGCTGCTTCCTCAGAGTGATGCAGGGGTTGTGTGGTTGGGACTTGTTTACATTGGTGGGTCTTCAAGGATATGGTGTGTTTATCAGACTCTGGAATAGGCTAGTGAGTGGATACCTAATCCATCCAGAAATTAAGACCGTTTTTAATTCTTTTTTTTCGCACGGGGGCCGCGAGTTACAACCGACACTACTCTGACACTGTCCTTGATTTCTCCATTTCCCAAGCTACGTCCAAGCTGCATCCTTTGCTGCATCCTGTGCGCATCCCAGCTACATCGAGCTACATCGAGCTTACCATAGTACATCCAAGCTATACTATGTACATTCAACCCCCTTTTAACCCTCACGAAACCCACATCGATTGGTACTCTGGCCAATTGTTCATTTCTATCCCTTGCTGTTTTCTTGTTTCGTCTTCCTCGTTGGCCGGGGAAGCCCATCCAATAAGCCTAGCCAACATTGATCTTCTGGGGCTTCGTGGGTCTCCTGGTCCGTCCTTTGGAGCTTTGACGACGATCAAGATCGAACCAGATCCACCTACTGGTCCAACCTCCTTTATTGGTGTCAAAATAAGAGAGGCCAGTTAAGCAGTTAAGCCAGTCGCCCGGCCTTGTCACTTCTCTATTATTATTATTTGCTCGGTTTATTTTGGACGAAATCAATAGATGGATCGAGATGGAGAGGCGCACTATATTCGGCCATTGAGAATTAATCAACATCTGCGTGGTCGTTCAGCTACAACTGGCAGATTCGGTAGCCATGGGACTGACATGTATCGAGCTCAAACAGTGATTTGTTTGCATAATGATCCGAATTGACCGCTCTCTATCGACAGCAACGCACGATTACATCTACCGGTGCTTGGAAAAAGCTGATCTGTCTCGATCGAAGAGTGCATTTAGCAGCCTAGGTATGCAGTGATACCATCTTGGCCAGCCTACTGCGTTGGAAAATTGAAAAAATTGAGGAGGCTGGCGCTAGCTGACAGGCTGGTACCGTTTTCTCCGAAGCAACTTGGCAGACGGCAGCGGCAGTGGCAGGCTGGCAGATGCAATTCATCTACGATTTACGATGGCTGGACAGCTAAAAACCAACCACCCGAGACGTCAATCGAGACTTGCATACACGACGAATCAATGCTTGGAAATGATATGATTCCCAACCACCATTTGCTGACACTTGCAGCTTCAGCAAGGCATCTCCCATTACGCGTAGTATCGTGGATTTCGCTCATTGGATTATTCTGCTGATTATGGTGCACAAACCTGGCTTAACTTATGCACGGCCCAATGCAGAGAGACGAGCTGAGCTGAGCAAGTGAGCTTTGCTTTTACCGTCGTGCAGCTCCAAAAACAAGTTCCACTGGGTCACCGATCCTGATCCCTGTCCGCCTTTGATGATGTACCTTCACCCAATCTTGTGCTACAGATCATCTCGATAAATTCTTAGAAAACCTCCTGGCCGTCCGGCCGTTGCAAATTGATCGATTTTTACTTTCCGGCCATCTAGTTATCCATCCAACACGTTTCGAATGCTAAAAGAAAAGCTCCGTCAACAATTGCTGATACCAATTTTACCCCTGATCATCCAGAGACTCCAATTTCGTTGTCATGACAACCGGATAGACAAGAACACGCGCTACGATCTTTACCTTATTGATTAAAGCGGAGCAGCTCGAAAAACAGGGATTTTACGAGGTTCGCGCCTCGCAATTTGAGAAAAAAAAAGTTGGCTTGCCGGCGGCCGTTTGAGAATTGAGCTTTCGTCACATGTTCGGACCTGGAAGAACTGTTTCGCTTCGATACGATCACTTAGCGCTTGGCCATTTTCGACGAGAGTTGGACGAATTGAGCTACGTCCGATGTTCTGAAACAATGGAAAGCAATTTGCAAGGCGTCGAATGAATCCAGTGCTTCAATCTTACGAATTCAATCTATTCTGGAGTGATTTCGAAGTATCTGACCAGCAGGGAGACGACTTGTGATGACATAGGCTACTCCGTACTTTCCGAGGGTTTCCGACCGATTTTAATCATTTTCGGCGCTTGGGGTAGCGGGCTTGTTCAGCTGCGATGTTCGCCCACTAGCCACTAGAAGCTTGATAATATCCGACTATCGACGGCGATCTTGGCGTAGAAAGATCTAGATGGCCATCAAACCTTACGTGACGTGACCTACAATAATGTGTTTGTAGTAAGTACTTTTTCGGTAGGCTTAGACGTCAATTGGGTGCATTTTGTAAACGTGAAGACATGATAGGGGCAGAAGATGGAATAGACTTGTTAGGAGTCTACAATTCCAAATTCAAGACTGTTTGATGCTAGCAAGTCAATTAGCAACGTAGATATAGCCTTTACAATAACGCATTTGAACTTGATCAATTGAGGCGTAATTTTTCCAATTGGTGTTGATTAAACTAGCAACCAATATCTTGGTTACTGTTGACCTACGCTGCTTATATTCTATATAGTACTCAAATGACTGAGATAACAACCTTGGAATTCATACATTCTCGTATTGGTCGACATTTTGGAATACATGATCTTAGCAACCAGTTTTGATAACTAGTTAAACCGGAAGACAGTGCCATCATTGCCAAATACCTACATCGATAATATTGCGACGACCTGACGAAAACGCTGTATCATTTGACAAACAGCCACCATGGCAAGACGCCAGATACACCAGCTAGACAATGCATGCGCGTGGTTCCTAAGCGATTCTATGAGCTAATTCGGTAGACACGTTAGACACCCGTATTCTCGGAATCAAGCGAAGTCACCGCGAAATCAAGCAATTTGATCGCAATATCGTCGCAGGAGCTCCGTTGTGGCAACTTGAGATCCTGGGTTTCTCCTCCTATTCTTCACAGACCCGGGAAGTGGCGTCGGCTTCGTGTCTCGGTTCCCCTTACCGCAGCTAGGAAGAATCACCACGATCAATCCACACCGTAAGCCTTAGCTAAGAGTATAGCTGTGCGCCTAGATTCGGTACCGACCCAAGGTGGATAGGTGAGCTGTCACCGATCTTGCCGTCGCCACCATCGAGAACAATGTGCTGTCCGACCCGATTTCGATAACCGTGCGCGCGCGCGCGATGAGATGGCAACATCCGACCCGTCGTCCATCGTACAGGGTATATGCAACCGCCGGCAGATCCGACCTAAGGGCGGTCTCCCTCCTCTGCTTCTGCCAGATCACGGAACGTAAGGGCCGGCCCGTGGGGCTGCATCGCTCTCCGCCTGCAAAAGCATCCTTCCTCGACCCCGTAACACGTACGTGGAGGCGTTCCCGTGGGGATACGTTTTATTAGCTGACCTTTCCGCCGCCACGAGTATGTACATACGAGCTCGGGACCGTCGACCAGACTAGACGCCGCCCTAGGTAGATACGGAGCTCCATAGACAGGTAGGTATGACGCAAGTTGGCAGGAGAAGCTCTTTTGCCATCTTGGGTAATATACATATATATAGATGGACAGCGAGGTTGTCGCTAAGGGCAATATTACATCGCACGTGTGGGAAAACCTGCAGCGCGCCCCGGTGGGTGGGGATCTAGACATTCCCACTCGAAGCCTCGTATTCCCTAGCGTGGGTTCAGTGTTATGCGTGACGCTGCAGATCTCCACACGGCGTGCATCTGGTTGTGGGTATGGCAGGTAGCATGGCATCATCTAGAAGTTCATCTTAGACATCGTAAGACTCCTACCCAGGTATTCGTTATCAGGGTTGGATGTCTAGCAACTTGATAGATACTTGGGTTATCTTTGAAGTAATTTTAATGAATTGTTTCCTGTTTGCAATCCTGATTCTGTCTCGTACCTACCTACGCATGGTAAACATGCGAATCCGCAAGATAACCTAGTGCCTATAGATCGTGTGAAAAAACAAGAATATTAAATTCTTAGGTTGAAGAAACCTCATAGGTATTTTGGATGAGGTATATATAAGAAAGGATTACAAGATTCTAAAATAGATTTGCCTTTACCAGCGAGAGTCTTGAAAGCTGTTCATCTCTTAGATCGAGTAGTTATCATTGGCTCTGCTAAATAGCATTGTCCGCCGCGTCAACTCAACCGAGTTCCTGCATTTGATAGAACGAAAATATATCGTCTAGAACGACCTGCCCAAGGGGATTAAGCAGCTCTGGTAGTGTTGCATGAAGGGTAATCTTGAGGTATATAGCATATCTGACTCCGGGCGGCAAACCATACGATCTCGTTACATCGCGTCCCCCGCACTTCCGTGATGTCTGACTTTCTATAAAAGGGAATACGGACGCACGCCCCCAAACTGATCGACCATCCGCAACGGTGGCATTGACAGATGGAAAAATTAGGGAAATTATACAATTATCCGGCCGTACTCGCCATACATTATGCCGAGATGTTAAGTATAGGGGTTTCTGTGCTACGCAGTATATAATATGAGATAGGGGAGGTAGTGATCGGCGTAGTTTGTTAGTGGTAGCCGTAGGTTGGATTGCTGCTCGATTAGACAAGACAAACTATCTTATCGCAAACATGAAGCCGTACTCACTTCTATGGGCGGCGTCCAGTGTGCTGGGTGCCTCGTGGATCGCGCCAGGAGCCGTGTGGACTGATACCGATGGGAACAAAATCGACGCTCATGGCGGTGGTGTCGTGAAGCGCGGCGACACCTTCTACTGGGTCGGTCAAGCAGCTAGCAGTAAATAACATGAACCCCTTAACGCGTCAAACTGTTGAAGCTGACAATGTGATGAAGATCAAACGCCGCAGATGTACTCGTCTACCGATCTTGTGAACTGGAAGAACCTTGGGAAGCAAGCCAGCGCCGTTACTGGTATGTGGCGGCCTAAGATAGCAAAGCCAAATGGTTCATTCTGGGTATGATACTTCTAGCAATACGCTTTCTCTTTGTGCAGCGAATTTTCTGATCAACTGGTCGACTATAGTTGTATGGCCAACAAGACCGCTATGTCCTTTCCCTCAAGTCGTCGGCACAAGTTGGTGGCTATAGTCAGTCAGCTAAGGTTCATATCCCGCCGAGCGATTATTCCTACTCGGACACCGGCATGTTTTATGATGAAAGCACAAGTGCGTCCACCTCGATGAACCTTAAGGGGGCCTATTTACTGATGGGATCGATGGGTTAGGCACCTATTATCTCCTAACTAGTGCCGATCACAACACCGTCCAGGTTAACCGCATTAACTCCGACGGATCACTTGGAGACAAGGTTTCAAGCCTTAGTACGTTCATCATCTAGGCCCGACAGATTTGTCACAAACGCTAAACGAAGTTTTATAGCGGGAGGAGCGTACGAGGCTCCGGGTATAGTGAAAGCTGGCGGTGTTTACTTCCTTATCGTCTCCGGAAAGACCGGATGGCGCTCCAATCCTAACAAGGTCTTTTGGTCGACCTCGATTAACGGTCCCTGGGCTGGGGGATCAGATATCGCTCCCCAGGCAGAGAATACCTATGGTTCTCAGAACACCTTTGAACTGACGGTGTATGTGTCCCGAGACATCCTTAGTGGCCCTATCAAATTTCCTAAGGAATGAATTGCTGACTTTCATTGTAGTGCGGGTTCCAAGGCGACCACTTACATCTACATGGGCGATGCTTGGGACTCGAAGGGTGGTGCTAGCTCGAACTATGTATGGGCTCCTATGAAGATCGATTCTAGGTGGGTATCCCGAGCATATTAGACTACCTTTGGTCGAAATCCAGGCTGGTTAACCGCATGCTTGCTCTATAGTGCCCACACCGTCAAGATCGACTATCATTCGATGTGGAAGGTCGACGTCAAGACCGGCGTAGTTTCTTACCCCAGCACGGCGAAGCGTTACGAGGCCGAGCACGCCGTTTTATCAGGCAGGACAGGTAACGTACCCCCCTAAACCAACACATCGGAGCTCACGGGACTGATGACGAGAAGTTGTGAGAGATTGCAACGAGTGTCTGACCAAGCGCGCCGTGCATGGTGGTAAGTCTATCTCCTGAATATGACTTAACATGGCTAGACTAACCCGCCTGATAGTTGGCGACTCAAGCGAAGTGACTTTCCACAATGTTACCGGCACTGGCGCGCGTCAATGGCTTTCTTTCCATTACCGAGCCAATAACCCAGAAGGTACGTCGCAATACTCAGGTATCATTAAGATAACGTTGAAACTGATGATTCACTGTCGTAGCCGGAGAAGCGCATATATATGTTAACGACGAGCCCGCCGTCAACATCTCGAGCTTGAACTCTCGCGCGGGTTATCACTCATCTACCCCGGTCGAACTCCTCCTGAAGCGCGGGGATGTGAATACCATCACCTTTGGAGCTACAGGAAGTGATGGTATGTTCTTCTTTCCAGACCCCTGATAAGTATTGACTGCTAATGATACTGCGATAGGATTTGAGGTTGCTGTGGATGGAATCGAGCTGTTTGAAGAAGACGAGTGATGCAGCGTTTTATGTTCTCTCTGTACATACTAAATTTGATACTGTGTTTTATATATTAGTATCTTGAATACTTACATATTACTCGAACAACTTCCGAATTATCGTAAATATTCTTTTTCGAGTTGATAAATACAATCGTATTCATCCAAGAGTTGAAGTTGAAGAGCGTAGATTAGATCGTGGAAATGGGTGGAATTAAGAAATGACGTAAATGACAGTAAGACACGGTATGGAATGGAACCTTCAATTTCGTCCCCCCAAACCTGTTAGATTTCCGTATAAAACGATGCCAATTACTTGCATCCCACCATCCTCGTAAATTTTAATTCTGATAGTTAACGGTAAGTAAACGTGAATAAAATTACGTTATTACTTTTTAGCCTTTACCGTTCCGATATTGCGACTTTCGTTGCGACTTGCCCCGCGTGCCGTCAGAGTCATTCTCTACTAGAGCAAACTGCCCAAGTACTACTGGATACACTTCTGGTGGAGATATCTCAAGTTTCAAGGTAGCTTCAGCGGCGGATTAATGGACAAGCCAAGATGAAGCAAAGATTTTCTTCGTTAGATGTCAAGGTAAATTACCAGATCACCCCAACCACTCTAGTTAAATAGGTACTTGCATAGCTTACACATATTCTATACTAGGTCATCGCTCACGAGCTATCGACGAATCTTGTGTCCCTCCGAGTTTCCAACATTTATGATCTATCTTCCAAAATCCTCCTCTTCAAGTTCGCCAAACCCGAAATAAAGAAGCAACTCGTCATAGAATCCGGTTTCCGATGTCACCTTACTGATTTTGCGCGGACAACCGCTGCCGCTCCATCCGTCTTCGTACAGAAGCTGCGCAAAGCCCTGAAAACCCGACGTGTTACAGCGGTTTCTCAAATCGGTACAGATCGGATCATAGAATTCCAGTTCAGCGATGGACTGTATAGGCTATACCTGGAGTTCTTTGCTGGCGGCAACGTGATCTTAACTGACAACGAGCTCAAGATTTTGACACTTCTACGAAACGTTCCCGAAGGAGAAGGTCAGGAGCCACAGCGCCCCGGCCTAACGTACTCCTTAGAAAATAGACAGAATTATGGTGGTGTTCCAGCCTTAACAAAGGAGCGTGTACAAGATGCGCTTCAGACTACTATTCAGAAGGCTGCTGATTCGGCAGCTAAGGGCAAGAAAATCAAGAGGAAGCCAGGCGATGAATTGAGAAGAGGGCTTGCCACAACGATCACAGAACTACCTCCTATATTAGTCGATCATGCATTGAGGGTCACCGGCTTCGACTCGAGTGTCCCTCCATCCACAGTTTTAGAAAACGATGGACTTATCCAACACCTGCTACAGTCACTCCAAGAAGCTCGCAAGATTGTCCAGGAGGTCACTAGCTCTGATACTTGCAAAGGATATATCTTGGCTAAGACGAAGCCTGGCATAGAGAGTGCACAACCTGATGGCGCGGATGGGGAACAGCAACGGAAGGACAATGTGCTCTACGAGGATTTTCACCCATTTTTACCTCGCCAGTTTGAAGAAGACCCAAATTGCGTTGTCCTTACTTTTGATAATTATAATAAGATGGTAGACGAGTTCTTCTCTTCCATAGAAGGACAAAAACTAGAGTCGCGCTTAACTGAGAAGGAGGCTGCTGCTAAGCGAAAGTTGGATGCGACTAAAGCAGAGCATTCAAAGAGAATCGAAGGTCTTCAAGAAGTCCAACAACTTAATATCCGCAAAGCCAATGCGATCGAAGCGAATGTTGAGAGAGTCCAAGAAGCGATGGATGCGGTAAACGGTTTAATACAACAAGGGATGGATTGGGAAGATATTGGCAAGTTGATCGATCGAGAACGCCGACGAAACAACCCGGTAGCTGCTATCATCACGTCCCCACTCAAGCTAAATGAGAATACCATCACCGTGCTTCTCGGAGAAGCAGAGGAGGAGGAAGACGATGAAGACGATGCATCCGACACCGATTCTGTAAGCTCGGATGATAGTGGATACGCGGGCACAGAGGCGTCTATGCGCAAGATTCGTGATAATCGGCTGGCAGTTGACATCAACCTCGACCTCTCCCCTTACGCCAACGCACGGGAATACTATGGCGAACGGAAAGTGGCAGCTGTGAAGGAACAGAGAACAATGCTCCAATCGGAATTTGCGCTGAAAAGTGCAGAGCAGAAAATTACCGCAGAGCTAAAGAAAGGCCTAAAGCAGGAGAAGCCTGTCCTGCAACCGATCCGAAAGCAGTTGTGGTTTGAGAAGTTCACATGGTTTATTTCGTCTGATGGCTATCTTGTCCTCGGTGGCAAAGATGCCCATCAAAATGAGATGCTCTATAGGAGGCATTTGAAGAAGGGCGATGTCTATGTGCACGCAGACCTCCACGGCGCACCCAGCGTAATAATAAAAAATAGCCCAAGCACGCCCGATGCACCTATACCTCCTTCAACATTATCACAAGCTGGATCTTTGGCAGTTTGCGCCTCATCCGCCTGGGACTCCAAAGCTGGGATGGGTGCATGGTGGGTAAATGCGGATCAAGTATCAAAATCACCACCAACTGGAGAATTCTTAGGTACTGGCAGTTTCATGATCAGAGGAAAGAAGAACTTCTTGCCTCCTGCGCAATTGATCTTAGGCCTCGCATTGATGTTTAAGATCAGCGAAGAGAGTAAGGCTAAGCATGTTAAGCACCGCCTTTATGACCTCCCAGATGTTGGACCAAGCGATCAAGCTTCGACAGTCACTGCTAGTAAAGCTGCAGCTGATAATACGAGAGATGTTGATGAAGAGAGCGACTCGGGAGATAGTGCTATAGACATTGACGAAGATTTTAAACTGAAGGATAACCCACTTCAACCTTCGAACCACGACGAGCATGAATCTCCAGATCCGGCAGAAGGAACCTCTCTTAGCCGAGGAGTCAGCAACCTAACAATCTCCGAGGAGCCTCACATTTCTCATGCTGTCGAGTTCACAAAAGCGGAAGAAGGCGAAGTCGATGAAGAGGAAGATGCGGAAATAGCGACAGATGCTGGCTCGGCACCATTAACCAAGATAACTACCTCAGAAGCTGTTTCGTCAGGAAAATCTACACCCCAGCCCCAAAAGAAAGGTCAACAAACTAAACGAGGTCAGAAAGGAAAAGCAAAGAAAATTGCCGCCAAATACAAGGACCAAGATGAGGAAGACCGTGTGGCCATCGAAGCTCTTATAGGCGCTACAGCAGGAAAGCAAAAGGCCGAAGCTGAGGCAAAAGCCAAAGCTGAGCGTGAAGCGCAACGGGTAGCTACACTCGAACGCCGCCGGGCACAACACCAACGGCAGCAGCGTGAAACAGCCGAGCACGAGGAAGTTCGCAAGGTGATGCTCGAGGAGGGTATCGAGACGCTCGATGCCGAGGAAACAGCTAGCCTAACCCCCCTCGATGCGCTTGTTGGCACCCCACTTCCCGGAGACGAGATACTCGAGGCCATCGTCGTATGTGCACCCTATAGCGCACTCGGTCGCTGCAAGTACAAGGTCAAGATGCAACCCGGTGCACAGAAGAAAGGCAAGGCTGTCAGGGAAATCCTAGAGACATGGAAGGCGGTCTCAACGAAGAAAGGAGTTGTTGACGAGAAGAGTGAAGACAAGGAGAAGATGTGGCCGCGTGAGGTAGAACTCTTCAAGGCCATCAAACCCGAAGAGATCTTCAACGTCGTGCCTGTGGGGAAGCTCAGGGTTATGATGAGCGGAGCGGGCGGTGGCGGAGGTGGAGATGCGAAGGGTAAAGGTGGAAATAAGGGAGGTGGCAGTGCGAACCGTGGCAAGAAGAGGTGAAAGGGATAAAAAGAGATATAGATAGGTACCGTAGGTCAATATATAGGTATCTATATCAGCCCTCGCCGGCAGAAACGATTGCTCTGAATTACATCGACAGACCATTCACGAATATAGGTACTAGGTTCTTTTAAGGACTTATCTCATCATAACGGAAAAATCGGTTCTTGCAATATTTAATCTATCTGCACGTATCATATGTTTAATCAAGGGATCATGGATTCTACCAACCTACCTAGTAGACAATAAGGGTTTGGCAACACAATACTTACCTACTACGACAAATACGACCTCTAATATAGGTATCTAGGGCATAGGTGGGTAGAAAGGGTCTGCCCACTTTACCTCCGAACCAGGAGGTTCAAAGAATCCTTTACGCCCGTCGAAATTCTTCTCGTACCAATCCTGAACGGCAGGGTCTATCTGAAGGGCATCCATAACACTTTCTTCACCACTGAGGATCCGGGTCAAGAGACCCTTGAACTTCGCCTCGTCAGTAAACTTAGCCGCGTTTACCACACAGCAGCAAGTAGCCATCCAGCACAGAATGTGAAGAGGGTCCAAAGTCCCTCCACACTGACGGAACTCGAGAACACCGCGATGGCTATCGACGACATCGAAGTAGAGCTCGTCCTGGGAAAACTTCCCCGTCCACTTCGGGTCTATGGGATTCGACCTCACGCCGTCTCCCGTAACCTTCACCATAACCTCCGCTTTCCTCGAGATAAGCGACGTGCCAAGTGCTCGTGCGATATCCGTGACGTTCGCGTAGCACCACAACCCGACGAAGAAAATACGATCCGACAGCTTCCCCTCCCCCTGGAGCGCGGGGATCCACTCTTTCGGCAGATTCCGCTCCATCTCACTCACCCGCATCGCGCGCTCGTCGTCCGGCGGCTGCGGGAGGATCGTATCGTCCGCGGCGTAGATACCGAGGGGATCCGCGTCAGAAAGCCCGCCGAGACGTGACACGCGCGTGATAGCGCCACAGACGTCGTCGTATTTGCGCGAGCTGCGGTGCGCGCGGTTGAGCTGGTCGAAGCCCTCGTCGCGGAGGATAGCGACGAGCGAGACGAAGCGCTTGATGTCGATGAGGTCGATGCCCGCGCGGCTCGACACGCTGACCTGTGTCGTCACGGGAATCGACGGCATGTCCCGGTGCACGCGGAAGTTGTTCCGCATCACGCGGCAGATCCGGTACAGCGCCGTCAGGATCTCCCGCGCGGACTCGATCCCCAGCACCGGCGACGCGATCTTGATCACCTCCCAATGGTACGGATCGAACTCGTTGCGCGGCGCGTCCGCGTATTCTCTCCGCGGCGGCGTGGCGAAGGCTTGAGGCGCCATGGCGTACACGGTGAAGGCGCCGTAGCGCAGGTTCATGTGCGGGAGGACCACGGCGCGTCTGTCGCGGTTGATTTCGGTGTATTTCCCCTCCGGGTTCAGCGGGATGAACCGCATGCCCGTGTCCTCATTCAGCGTCGTCAACACCCGATCCACCACGACCTTCCGCACATGCGACAGGTCCGGGTCCCCTTTCTCATCGCTGATATCCGCAAGCCACCTCTTCTCCTCGGGATGCGGGTCCGGGATCCCGTCCCGCGTACGTCTGTACACCGCGATCGGCAACTCGAGCTCGAAGCCCAGAGTCAGAAACGGATTCTTGACCGTCTCCTCATCGCGCACCCAGTCCTCCTCCGCCGGCGCCACGGGCTGCCACTTCCGCCCGTCTTCGAAGCGGTCGCGGTCGCAGATCCAGTCCCGCACGTCCTGCTGCTCCGCCATGAACATCGGGTGCACCAGCTCGCGCACGTAGCGGCGCTCGAGCTCTTCCATCGCTGGGCTCGGCCGGAACCATGTTGTTTCCTCTTTCGGGTACAGCTTGTGCTTCCGGTCGTAGTCGTCGTGGAGGAGCGCGAGGTGCTCGAGGGTGGAGTCTTGCAGCTGTTCCCATGGGAGCTGGGAGGATATGTTGTGCGGGAGGATGGTGCGCCAGTTTACGTTGGTCCAGTTTATATTTAGGAGGAGGGAGTCCCAGTCGTAGGTGGGGGGGTCGCTTGTGGACATGGTTTGTTGTTGTTGTGGTGTGTGTGTGTGTGTGTGTAGGAAGTTATTGCTGAAGGGATATTGGATTTATACTTACTTAATAGTGATACCTACTGTTTTGCAGCTTGTGTAGATATCTTCTATTTCACTCACCTTGGTGGATTTAAGTTTCCTCTTAGGCGTTACGGAATAGCGAAATGTGGTGAGGAACCAACTCAGGTGCCTTGCTTGATATAGAGGCATCTCGGACAAACTGTATAACAGTGGTTTTATTGGAGCTTCCTGGCTATTGATGGATGATAGATTTTGTTCATTCTTGATAAAGCAATCGTTTTCGAGTGACTGTTCCAGTTGAACCGACTTTCTTTGATATCTTCTCCTTGATCGAAGGATAGGTACATTACCTTGAGTCATTACTGAGTTGTCAAAGGGGCAGTCTGCGCCATCCCTAGGTACTGAGGCATGTGGCTGAAAGAAACATAAGGGTTACAATACCTACCTAGGTACGAAGGTAGTATGCGAGTATGATCTTTTACCTCTCTAATTCCACCAATTTCTAGACAATATTTAGACGTCTTGATGGCCCAGAGACCTCATAAATCTACTTTACGACTTATAGCTACTAGCAGGATATGCTCGCCGGTCTTCTATGGCTGCATGTGGCCCTAGACTATTGAACGCCACGTTCTGTTCTTTACCTACCTGCCTCTATCAGCTTGTGCTAGTTGAGATCTGCCTTTTCAGGCATACAACGTCACATTTCACGATGAACTAACGAATATGATTAGTATCTTGTGGTAACACACCTCGTTAGACTATTGATAGGGATTATGCTGTGCGATGCTCCTCTATCCACTGGTGTGAGGCTCTTCGAACATGGAAGAGCTGGTTATACGATGCTATATATGACTCGACTATGTCTACTGAGACATTGTGTGTCAAGTAAATCACCGCTCCTCGCGGACACGACCTTATCGTCCCGGTCTCGATAGGCAATTAGGTAGCCGAGCGCTGATCAAGACCGGTAGAAGTCGGTGGGCGTACATTTGAGAGACCATCAACATTTGCTTTTTGGTACGAATTAGTCTTATGCGGCGGCAGCCCAATATTAATACGTCACCTAAGGCGTTCCTTCAACCATACTGGAGAGTAGTAGCCTAAGACTTTTGTTAGTGATATTGATAAGATCCTTGCTAGGCTGTTTCTTCTCGGAGTTGCAAGGTTTTAGAAATCGTGATTCTTAGATCATCGAACAGCTGCCCAGTGTTGTTGATGTGCTTTGCAAATGCTGGTTTCTTAACCGGCTAGCCCAGCCTTAGAGTTTAGACACAAGCATCTTCGGAACACAGACCAATCATCGTAAAAGCCATCAATCGAATACTTCTGCTCGCGCAAATAATAAATCGATCCTTGAGTCGGCCTAGCTGGGTAGTTATGCTGTTGGTGCAACATCATGCAAGGTACGCCGAGGGAGAGGAGCGGTGTTCCTGGGCTCGAAGCTGACGATATTCGGTACGGTTTAGCGGTAGACTGACGTGAGCAATGAACATTCAAACAGGTATTGCCGTGTATGGGAATGGAGAAAATGCGAATGGCTTGCCTCTAGAATGTTTATGTAGCATTTGCTGAGATCATGAAACCGTAATGTATGCAGCTAATGAATCCTTCGAGCTGCCGATACCCCCAAAACCTATGCTGAGCACGTGTCTCCCTTGTAATAAAAGACTGGTACCGTAAGATTGCTATCGGAGTGGCCGTGCCACTGAGTCGATTTTGGACATTGACGATCTGCAGCTATTAGGAGAGTTTTACAAGAGGCTCCTTTGTGCGAACTAATCATGGGACGAGCCTTTAGCAGCTTGATACTACATCGAAATGTGTATATTAACAAGATCATAGATGCCGACTTTTCGACCCGGCTCTGTTGTACGGACGAAGAAGTGTGGCTGAATATGGACCGGACCTAAATTTCAAGGCTCACATCGAATGAGGCTGAGCTTGACTAAGCCTCTTTTCGCATCATTGATAAATTAGTACGGTACCTAAGTATTCCCTAGCGGGGGTCTTTGAAGCGGTCGGGGATGGCGGGGCTTGGAGGGGCTTGGAGCTTCAAAGTTGGAGGGGTAAGGTTTGGCGCAAACGCAAACAAAGTGGATATGATATCCATGGATGGGAAGGTACGGCCTAAGAGCATTATTCAGAATTTTAGATCGGGCACCAATATTTACGGTAGGTAACCTCCCCGTTTAGATGGTATTAATAACTTTAACCACACGGTTAAAATTCCTGAAAAACACGGCCACTTCTTAATTGAGATTAATTAATGCCACGACGCTCCGCCATTTAATTTCGTAATGTTTTTATCGCATATTTTATTTAAATTTAATTTTATTAATTTTATATTTTATAATTATTTTTTAATTTAATTATTTAATATATATAATTACGTTAATTAAATTTAATTAATTTATTTTAATTAAATTATTTACGATTAAAAATTTAATTATATATATTAAAATTATATAATATTAAAAATTAAAACGTTAATTATATTAATTATTTTAATATTATTTTATTTAATTTTTATATAATTAATTTATAAAATTTTATAATTATAATATTAATAATTATTATTAAAATTATTAATATTTTTATATATTATTTATATTAATTAATTTTAATAAAAATTTTATAAAAATTAAAAAAAAAAATAAATATATATATTTATAATAAAAATAATCGTATAAAATTAATAAAAAATAATATAATAAATATAAAATACGGTTTAAAATACGATTTAAATTAAAATTTTTATTAATTTTATTAATTTTATTAATTTTATTAATTTTATTAATTTTATTAATTTTATTAATTTTATAAATTTTATATACGTTTTTTTAATTATTTAAATATTTTATTAATTTTTTATTTTTAAATTTATATTTTAAATTTATAATTTAATCGTCGTTAAATAAATAATTAAAAAAATTCGTTATATAATAAAATTTTATAATTATTATAATTATTATTTTTCGAAAATTAATTAATTAATATTATACGATTTAATTCGTACGTTTTAAAGTTTAAAAAATTTAATTTTTTTTTATTTTATTATAAAATTAATAAAAATATCGTTATATAAACCGTATAACGTTAATAATTTTTAAAAAAATAAAAAAATTTAATATAACTTTTTTTTATAATTTTTAATTAATTAAAATAAAATTTTTATTTTTAATAAATTATTAATAACGATTAATATTTTTTATTTTTAAAGTTTAAATTTTTATAAATTAAAATTAATTAAAATTAACTCGTAAAAATTCGAAAAATACGTATTTATAAAATAAATTTTATTATTTAATAAATAATTTTTTATAAAATAATTAATTAATATTTTAATTTTTTTAAATTACGTAATTTTTATATATAAATTAATATTATTTTTATATTTTTTTTATTAAAAATAAAATTATTTTAAATTTAATTAATTTAAATAATTTTATTTAATTATATTTAAATAAAAAATTTAATTTAATTTTTTTAATAATTTATTAATAATTAATTTTATAATTTATATATATTTTATAAATTTAATTATATAATAAATTTAAATTATAATATTTATTTTTTAAATAACGTTTTAAATATTTATAAATCGTTTTAATTTAATTAATTATAATAATTTTATAATTACGTATATAAAATATTATATATTAATAATATTTAATTCGTTAAAAAAATAAATAACGATTATATAATTTAAAAACGTTATACGTAAAAAAATTAATAAAATAATTACGAAAAAAAATATTATATATTAATAAAAAACTTAAATTATTAAATTTTATTTTAACGTATATAAAATTTAATTAATTAAAAAAAAAATATTATAAATTAAAAAATTATATTACGTACGTTTTTACCGTTAAAATTTTTTTTTAAATAATTTTTAAATACGTTAAAACGTATTTTTTTTATTAACGTAAATATAATTTCGTTAAATTTTTATAAAATTATTATAAAAATTTAATTATTTTTTAATATTTAAATTTTAATATTAAATTTTAATTAAAATTTTTATTTTTTCGAATAATTACGTAATTTATTCGTTATTTTTAATTTTATTTAAATTATTATTTTCGTTATTATTTTTTAAATTAATTAATTTATATATAAATAAATTTAATTTTAATTTATTATATTTAAAAATATCATAAAATTATATTTCGTTAATATTTCGTAATTTAATAATAAAAATTTTATTTAAATTAATTTATTTTTATTTTACGTAATAAATAACGTTTTTAAATATATATTATTTATATAATTATTAAAACGTATTTTCGAAAATTTAATTAATTATAAATTTAAATTTTTTAACGAAATTATTTAATATAATTATTAAAAATTAAATTTAATATTATTACCGTAAATTATTTAAATATTTTAAATATTATAAAAAATCGATTTTTAATTCGTTAAAAAATAAATTAAAAACCACGTAAAAATTAATATATAACGTAATAATTTTTATTATATTAAAAAATAATATATTAAATTTATTAATTTAAATATTATAAAATTAATATATAAAATATATATAAATTTAATAACGTATATATCGATTTACGTAATACGTATTATTAAATAATAATATATTCGAATATTATTTTTATATTTTAATATATTATTTAAAAATTTAAAATAATTTTATTATTTTATTAATTTTTTATTAATATTTATAAAATAATTAATATTATAACGTTTTTTATATTTTTTTAATTTTTTTAAAAATATTTAAATATTTAATAAATTTTTTTATATACGTTATTTAAATAAAATATTCGCGTTTTATATATTTTACGAAATAATTATTATTTCGTTTATACGTATAATTTAAATAAATTCGCGATTAATTAATTATATATTAAATAAATTTTCGAAATTATAAATTATATTATTAATTATATTTATATTTTATTTAATATATATAAATTTATTAAATAAATATAAAATAATTTAATTATTAATTAATAAATTAATTCGTAATAATTTTAATATAATAATATTTATATTTAAATTTTAACGTTATTATTAATAATACGTAATATTAATTTTAATAATATTAATATTATAATTATAATTCGAATTTTTAATTTTAATAAATTATTTTTTTATTTTAATTTAATACGAAATTAAAATTTTATAAAAATAATTATATTTACGAAAAAATCGTTAACGTTTAATAAATTTTTTAATTATTATTAAATTATTATAATAATTATATATTAAAATAATATATTTTATATATAATTAATTATTTTTATTAAGTTTTTAATTTTTATTTAAATTTAAAATAATTATAATAAATTTTAATTAACGAACGTATTTAATATATATATTAAAAACGTTTTTATATAAATTAAATAATTAATTAATATTATATAAAATTACGTTTTTACGTTATTAAATAAT